ATTATAGAGGTTAATTCCTGCTCATCATTCATAAAATTATGAATATATGGTTTCATAGAAAGATAAATAACTTATATATTCAGAAGGCTAAATGGGTTGGAGAAAAAACTAAGAAGATTAATAGCTTAGGTTTTAAACTTTGATATTCATGTAGAAGTGGCATTAAAAATGGTGTGAGTGTACTTATAGATAAGAGTTTAGAAGATAATGTTGTTAAAATTAATAGAATTGAAGATAGAATTATTGTCCTCAATAATGTTATTGATACTAAAATTTTTAATATTATAAGTGCTTGTGCTTCTTAAGTAGGTTAAGCTATGGATTCAAAAGAAAAACATTGGAATGAGCTTGAGGAATTAATACAAATGATACATCTTAAAGAAAGTATTTTTATTTAGAAATGATTAAAACAGACATGTTTGTCGAGTGCTAGAAGATGTTAGAAATATTTATGGTGGTTATGATTTTGGAGTGATTAATGAAGAAGGTAGACCCATATAAGATTTTATTTTAGCATGTGATTTTGTTAATTCTAATACTTTATTTAAGAAAAAAGATGAGCTTAATATAATTTATAAAAATGAATCTAACAAAACAAAAATTGATTATTTTCTAAGGAGAAAAAGGGTTTGCTGAGAATGTAAAAATTTTAAGATCATTCAAAGTGAAAGTTTAAGCACTTAACATCGATTATTAATTTTGGATTTTAAAATGAATAGTTGTAAAATAGAAAATATAAGAAAATATTATTATAGAAATAGACGGGAGCACCTAAAAGAAATAAGTAAAATTATATTAATGAGCAAATTTCAAGATTTCAAGGTTTGGGATGCTCATGAATAGGTGAATTTTATTTGGGATAAAATAACAAGTGTTATTAAATGAGTGATAAAAGATATACGTGTAGAATCAAAAGGAAATGTTTTTATAAATAAAAAAAGTTTGTGGTAAAATAATAATATGAAACAGAAGATAAAATATAAGAAGTTGTGCTATAAAAATTGGTTTAAATGTAAAAATTTAGAGAACTGTAAAATATATAAGTTGGTCCATAAGAAGTATAAGAGAATAATCTGTGACGCTAAAAACTTTGTTTTTAGCGGTCTTTATATAATAGATTAGATACTAAAGTGGGTGAAAATTATATGTATAAGCTAGCCAAACAAAGAGAAACGAAAAGTAAGGATTTAACTCAAGTAAATTGTATTAAAGATGAAAATCGAAAAGTGTTTTTTTTTAGAAATAGATATTCAACATAGATGGATTTGTTTTTTCGAAAAGCAAAATTTTATAAGATGTTGGTGAGACTTGCAATGCTCTATAATGCAGAATGTTGGCATTTAAAAGATAAGCATAAAACGAAGTAAAGTGTTGTTTGATGAGAATGCTTAGGTGGGTGAGTGGCTTGACCCAATGGAGAAAAATGTTTCATGTTGTCCACCCCACTTAGCAGAACGAAGGCTTGTTGTTGTTGTATTCAATGCTCAATGGGAAATTTACATACTACACAGCTCTTATGAATTTATATCTCTAACATCTAAATTTTGATATTTACATTTATAACAACATGGTTTTATAAGCCTATGCATGAAAAAGTGTATTTTAATTTTAAGAGATTAATAAAAATGATATTTTTTTATGTGATATTTAAAGTTTAAGCGTCATGTATTTAAATATTATAATTGAGGTGGTAGATATGTAAAAATGTAAGAATTGTGTGTTATGTATGTAAATGCCCCTTTATTAAACTAAGAGTAATATGAGTTATGAAAAGGAAGAAAAAAACATAATTCTTATTTATGAATGCTCTTATTTAAATCAAATAAATATGTAATAGTGATGATTTTTAGTTATTCTTATGTATTTATATATCTAACCTTTAAAATTTGATATTTACACTCTCCAGGCCACAGTGTCATAAATCTATGCAAGAAAAGATGTATTTTACATAAAAAAAAAGATAGGGATAGTGATATTTTGAGATGTGATAGTACATATTTGAGCGGTATATATGTAACTATGAATGTTTAGATGTCCGCCATGCAAATACTTAAGAACTATGTGGTATGTATGCAAATGCCCCTAATATCTTGCAAATGATTTCATCATCTCTACTTGTATGTTTTCCAAGAAATGTCCTAGTTCCATCACAACTATTTATTAAATGATATGTTTTTTTTTTGGTCTATAGGGTCTTGATCTAAGGTGTGTTTGTAAATGAACTAATGCACTCAATATATAATTCACACTTTGACTTGATTAATACTAAATCAAGTTTATTCTAACTAGAAAGAAAGTAAATATGAATGTTTTTTTAAAAACTCTAAAATTAAATAAATCAAAGATAGACCTGCATGGGCCAACTCGTTTATATATGTTCATGAACAAACCTAGTTGTTATTCCGCAAGTTATTTATTAAATGCGTAATATTGAGCTTAATGATAGCTGGTTGTATCATATTGTATATGATATTTAAATAAAATTTAATTAACTAAAATTTATTTACTTGTATACATTTAATAAAAATATATAATAATTTAATACAAATAATACTTTAAGAATAATAGTTAATTAAATGTTTCTTTTATAAAATCCATTAATTAATTAATCAAATTTATTAATTGGACTATTATTATCTATCATTTTAATGCATCATTCTTTTTAATATTAAATAATTATCATTATATATATATATATATATCTATATAATTACATTAATTATATAATATTATATATCTATAATCTTTTTGAAATTCTACAAGACATAGTTTACTCAACACTCAGAAGCCTCTATCCTATTTTATCCAATTAAAAATTCATAAATTTTCTTAGCTAATATTTATATTTTTAAAAAAATAATATATTTATCATTAATAAATATGCCTATTAATTTAATGCAATTATTTCTTATTTCATTATTTCAATAAACTAGTTTTTTACTATTTATGTTATTTGATAGTGAGAAAACTTGCTTGCAACTTATATATCAATCTATTTATATGGTGTTAAGTGCGTAGATCCCAATTAAAAAATGATTTAATTGCTCTTTTAATTTATAAAATTATGTAAAAAGAATGTTATATAAAAAGCCAGGTACTCTTTCAATTTCTTAAGCTTGTTTATTAGATCATTGAAATAATCGACCAATTAACATAAACAAGCGAAGTATGAATATACATGTGAATGCTTAATTCAAACTTGAGCTGAACATGAACAACTTATAATATGACCAAACTAAACCCATTCTATGCTATACTCGACTTCATCATAGCCCTTATGGATTGGTAAGAATAAACGCCAACCGGTCCTTCAATTCATATTGGTCAGTGGTTTAAATGGTTAAACATGTTTAATGATATATGTTTTAAGTGTAGCTTTTTTGGTTTTCTTATTCACTTATACCAAAAAAGACATCTTTAACTATAATTTTCTAAACATAAATAAACATATTTAAAATAAAAAATATAATTACTAGTTTGAGATTATAAATTTTATTTTTTTTTAATTATTTTTTTAATTTATTGGTTGAAAAATGTGATTTATTACAAATATTTTAATCGAATAAATACTATAATTAATAATAAAAAATTATATATCTGATTTGAAAAGATTTTTTTTTCTTATTATTAAGAATATATGATTCATAGTCGATTAGCACACTGTGCTTATATTGAATTTGAATATGGCGTAGGGCTCCCAATAATGTAAAAAGAGTTGTATAAGTAGGGTTGTCAAAATGACTCTTTGTTCACAAATAGTTCGTGTTCGACTCATTAAGAAGCTCGTGTTTGATGGCTCTAAACTCATTTGGGATCATATGTATCAAATTCAATATGTTTGGCTAGGTGAAAGAGCTTTGCCCTACTCAAGTCAAGGTTTAATTGAGAATAAATTGATTATCGGTTAATTAATCCAACTTTAATCCTATAAAATAGCAGAAGCGACTTCTAAGGTTAGTTTAGGGCTAAGGATGCTCGAAAAATGATTTGTTTGGAATGAGTTGGTTTGAATTGGGAGTGCTAAGCCAAATATTTATGGCCCGTTTGAGAATAATTTGTATTTAATATATTTTTTAAGTTTTTTTAATATATTTTTTTTCAATTTTGTATTCTCACAAGTTAGTAATAAGAATTAATTCCATTAAAATTAAAGAAGAGTTATCTTGAGTCCAATTTAGGGTTCGTTTGAGACAGCTTATTTGGTGCGGTGGCGTTTTGAAAACGCATCTGACTTGTTTGGGTAAATTGCGTTTGCGTTTTGACAGCTTTGACAGCTTATGCATTTTCAAAACACTGAAAATATCATTTTCACACCGCGCATGTCGAGGTGCGGTGGCAGCTTTCTGACAGTAATCTGACTTTTCAAAAAAATAAAATTTTGTAATAGCCACCGCACCTAGCTTATCGACAGATTATTTTTAATCAACTTATCAGCAGATTATTCGATAAGCTGCAGCTGCACCAAACAGATGTTTAATAGTATGTACGCCTACTAGAAATCAACTTTTTTTTTTCTATTTATTGTTTAAAAACACATCCTAATGTCACACGACTTTTAATTCATTTTAAAACTTAAGTCATGCATTATTGTGATTTTTTTTCTTACATATACGTGCTTGTATTTACCAGTAAATTTCTTCACCTTTCTCTCAACAAATCATACAATTTGTTCTTTCAAATAATCTTTCTTCAATTCAAATATGTAAGAAAAAATAATTTTAAAAAAAGTTACCAAATCTCAACGCACGAATCATAATGCATCATTTATTTGCATGCATGGGGCACACCCTGGCTTGCATCCTCCACCAAGCTTCAACACTATGGTTCCAGGAAACCAGAAGGATCCAACGACAGTTCCTTGTTACCAACCAAAAACATGAAATCACCATCATCTCATGTGAACACGCGCTCTTATCACCTCTGTTAAACTCCCTCCCTCCCTCCCTCTCCCTCTCCCTCTCCCTCTCTCTCATCTTATAAATGCTCTGTCTTGTTTTTTTCCCTATGCAACTCCATTGAATATGAGAGAGAAATAGAGGAGGCCATGCATTCACTTCATCCTAGCTAGCTGACTTTATAGAGAGACCTTAGAGTAAATGCTCCTACTGTCTTCTTCTGACTTTTCTATCTCTCCCTGTTTTCTTTGCTCTACACTCTCATGGCTATATCTCCTGTTTAAGGTCAGCGTAGCCTAACAAGAGTATAAGACACCCTTCCCAAAGGCTCACCCTGTGTGTGTGTGTATATATATATATATATGCATAGCACAGGAAACAATCCCTTTTACTGAGTCCTCAGTCCGCTCCACCTAGGAAGAAGAAAGCAGAACATCAGCAAGAAAAATATACTTCAGAAATCTCTCTCTCTCTCTCTCTCTCTGTCTGCCCATCAATTAGTTCAAGGAGAGCGAATTGAAAACAAGTGCCATGGGAAGACCTCCTTGTTGTGAAAAAGAAGGAGTTAAGAAAGGTCCATGGACGCCAGAAGAGGATATAATCCTTGTCTCTTACATACAAGAGCATGGCCCTGGGAATTGGAGAGCTGTTCCGACGAATACTGGTAAAGAAATACCGCTTTTTTCTTCATTTCTTACTTTATTTCTTCCAATTAGATCTTGCGGTTCAGTCTCGGTTTCTAAAATTGTAATTACAGGACAAGATCTATCTGACTTTAGTGTTATTTTTTGGTTTTATTTCTTGAGCTTAATTTAGTTGGTTTAATTTCCTCTTTCTTGCATGTTTTATATGATTTCCTTTTGTATAATTTTACTGAATTTTATACTTTTTTTCTCTAAAAATTTAACTTTTTTAAGCTTGTTTCTTATAAAGATTAAATTTTTCTTCTTGTTTTTCGAAAATTGAAATTAAAAATCAAAGCTTTATGCTATGTACAGAGTTATCAATCTATAAGAAATCTGGGCTGCAGGTTTGATGAGATGCAGCAAGAGCTGTAGGCTGAGATGGACCAACTATCTCAGGCCAGGAATCAAGCGTGGTAATTTCACAGATCAGGAGGAGAAGCTCATAATTCATCTTCAAGCACTCCTTGGAAACAGGTAATTAATTAACAATTTTATTACAACATCCCTTTAATCATTTACTGTTATTAATTAGCAGATATCCTATGATTGATTTGTTCCACTTTTAGATGTAAATATCGCTTTAATTACTGTGAAATAATTCTCATGAACAGTGTAAACCTTTTCAGTAAAGCGGCACGCTGTTTATTATTCAGATAGCACCCAAAACTCATACTTAATTAAGCCTAATTATAAATTTTTAAAAAAATTCTGGCATTCACGTGCATTCTTTTAACTAATGCTATTTATATATTACCTTATCTACTCTATTGTGCCATTAATAATAAATAAATAAATAAATAAAAAGTTACTCTGTCAGCTTGCAATTTAATTTAAATATATTTTTTTAATTTTTACTATTATGCTTATCTAACATTATGAAGGAGTTAAATAATATGACATTAATTGTCCTTCAGATAACTTGGCATTGAAAACTGTTACTATCATCCAAAGAAATGCAATTATTTCTTATCAATGAGTCAAACTTATTGTTGCTGCACTTAATATTACTTGATATGCAATTTATTTAGTTAGGATTGATTCCAAAACTGAAAATTTTAAACTCAAAATTCCCACCTTTTTTCTTAATATGATTGTTGATATTTATGCACATAGATGGGCAGCAATTGCCTCTTACCTACCAGAAAGAACAGATAATGATATCAAGAACTACTGGAACACTCATCTAAAGAAGAAGTTGAAGAAACTTCAATTTTCCGGCGAGGATGGAGGCCGCACTATCAACCCGATCATCTCTAACAACCACCACCAATCCATCTCCAAAGGCCAATGGGAGAGGCGGCTTCAAACCGACATTCACATGGCCAAACAAGCTCTCTCCGAAGCCTTGTCTCTCGACGCCATGAATCTCGAATCACCTTCTCCTCCCTCCCTCTGTCCGACCACCGCCACCGCCACCACCACCTGCACCTATGCATCCAGCACAGAGAACATCTCCAGGCTGCTCGAGAATTGGATGAAGAGCACTCCTAAATCAAGAAGCAGGGCGAGCTTCGGCTCTATGACCAATGCGTGCTCCGATTCTCAAGCATCAGCTGATCAGTTTGGTTTCAGGCCTGTGAAGATCGAGTCGAGTGGAGTCGTCTTGAAGGAGGAGAGTAAGGAGAGCTCTGCGGTCGGGCCGCCGCTTTCATTCATTGAGAATTGGTTATTTGATGATATAAGCGTCGAAAATGGAGGTGATGATCATCAGGACTTGGTGGATTTGCCTCTGAGTGATGCTTCAGAGTTGTTTCAGGATTGATATGGAAGAAGATGAAGTCTTGTTGGTGATGCTTCTCATAGTACGTTGCAGGATTAAACCTGCTTCCATCCGCTTTGCCTTGATTCATTAATTGAGGCTCAAACAATGGAGCAGATGGCCGCATGTTTAATTGAACTCATGAAGATTTGAGAAGCATTATATTTTAAGATTTTTTTTTCTTTTTTTTTTTTTTTGCTCTTCCCCGAAGGTTTTAGAGGAAAATGAGAAGAAATATTAATTTCATTAGTGTTCAATGATGGAACTATGGCGCCGTTCGTGATTAATTGTACTTAGTTTATGTTTTTAATCTTTTAATTTCTTTCTAATTAAGCTTATCAAAACTGTAAATTACAAAGATGTCTTATTAGCTTTAAGACAAGAAGATTTGTATTTCATCCAGTGTAGATTTCTAATTTATATGTTTAAATGAGCGTTGGAGTGTTCAAGATATTTGTGGTGCATGTTTTACTTTCATAAATGATTTCTCTTTTTTTTTTTTTTTTTCTTTGGTGGGGGCACATCTCACAACTTCAATATTTATATAAAAGAAAATTGAATGCCCGGATGACAGTGTGAATCTCATCATGTCATCATTATGTCATCTGCACAGCGGCTCGGGCCTAATAATCTTCTGGCAGGCATAGGCTCGAAAGAGCACTATTAACGCTTGAGTTTAAATTTTCATGCATTGGTAGAATCTGAATGTTATTCATGTTTAGGACTGAGATATGTAAATACATAAGAATTGTGTGGTAATCATCTAAATTTCTCCTATTTTTCTTGGGTATTTTGATAATTACATTGACTTTTGGAATTAGGTGGAGCTCGATAAGATAGTGATTGAAAGGTGGAAAACATGGTACGTGTGACAGCGTGATAATATGGAGAGCAAATATTACGTACGCCAAACAATGTAGATATGGAGGGTTGGCGCTCATCATAGTCGTTAATGTACATACGATTAACCATATATAATATTTTTTTCATTATGGATTAAGGTTTTCCACATTCATTTGATGATTTTTCATGGAAAATAATAATCTTTGTCGTATTGTGGGCATTAATTTGGCATGAAGAAATATGATTGAAGGAAAAGAAGATACTTTGTTTGTATATAGAATTTTGAGGAGTCAAATGGTTCACATGGATTAAGTGTGAATAAGTCATACCGAAGTTGTAGTTAATTATAAATTTATACATATAAAAGCAAGAATTTGAGAGGCTTGTTGGACCCACCCTAGAAATTTATTTTTTTTAATTATTTTTATAAATTAATTATGTTTATATAATAAGATTTAAATGTATAAGGATTTATTTAATAGTCTTTGGTTTAGATAATGGATGGTTGAATTATTAATTGTTACTTGTGCGTGTCATTAACATAAATCAAATCATGAATAATTCGATTTCATACAACTATACGCTTTTAGAATGATGAAGCATTTAAGTGCTATTTTTATAAATATTCGTAAGGTTAAGTGTTAATTAATCTAATGATTTTTTAATTATCCTAATTATATTAAAATATTCTCTACTAAAATACAAGAGAGGTCAACCTCAAAATTAAGTACGAGCTGAGCCACCTCTTCGGAAGTATAGATCTCTTTCAATATAGTTTAATTAACTATATATATATGAGAAATTTACATACATACCACACAATTCATATGTTTTTACGTGATGTTAAAAGGTTAGTAATATTGTTAATTTAATGCAATATTATCAAAGTTTAAGTGATGGATATGTAAATATATGTATGTATGTAAATGGATTTATATATTGATTGGTGAATTGATGGGAATAGCTTTAGAATGTACGTTCTTGTCTTGCTTGTTCCACACTTTCTAATAAAAAAATAAACAGAAAAAAAAGAAAAAAATTATATATATATATATATATATATATATATATATATATAATTTTTTTAATTAAATCTAAGAGGCGAGGGGTTGATGAAAAGGGGACGGGGACCTCCATTGGAGGTGTTAAATGACCCTCATGTGAAGTCCTCCTCTCTTTTCTTTTTACAAGCTGGAAATATACATGCATGTTTAATTAATCTTTAATTTTTTAGTCATAATGATTAAATATATGGTTAATCTAGTTAAAAATTACTTAACTAAATTACATTTCTACACCAACATTAATTTCTGTAATTAAAACTTGGCCTCAGAGTTAACACAATATAAATTTTATTGTTTTTGAAAACTGAAGTTTCTCTGGCATGTGCTATATAGTCTGTGAACTCTGTATGAAAACACTTAGGAAAATTTACATAGATACCATACAATTCTTATGTATTTACATATCTAACATCCAAATTTTGATATTTTGATGCACTTATGACACCTTGGTGTCATAAACATATACATAAAAAGATAGTGTTTCAGATTTAAGAAGATGGCAATTGTGATATTTCTTTTATGCGAATGATTTGAGTAGTATTCAGTGCAGGATATGTAAATACATAAGAATTGTGTGGTGTGTATGTAAATGCCTCAATAAATTAAGCATGTATTGTTCGAGTTCCAAGGAAGTTTAAGCGAGCTTAAACTCATTATTCTTTCAAATAGTTCTTAAAAAATCTTGTATCTTAAGGCTTATTTTGCTTGGCTTAAGCTTAAAGGCTTGTAATGTTGAGTCATGTGTCTGGTCAATTTATCTTGGCTTGGCGCTGATTTTCACCCTCATGAATATTTAATTGGTGTGTTAGTATAATAATATGATTTACATTAATAGATTAATTAAAGTATATTTTTATTCTTTATATATTATGTATGAATAGACATAGATTAATTAAGGTTTACCTATGCTCTAAAATTTTTTTAAAGTTATAAGAAATAGCATTAGGATAAACTGATTGATTAATGTTAAATATTTAGACATAATACCAATTGATTGAGATTTAAATAACATTGATAAGGCTCTAAAAAATCATATTTATATGCATGAATCTAGACATGCATTTTTACCCAAAAATTCAAAATTTAAAGTTGGAAATATCTGCACTCTGATTTATGGTTAGGCAAAGTGTCCAGAGAGACGAACCAAATGATATTAAAAATAATATGACCCGAGTCTAAGTGAGCCCAGCATGCACTTAAAGTATAGTTGGAATCTTTGAAATATATTTGGAGAACCAAATAATTTCTGAATTTGACAATTTTAGCATTTCGCTGAACTGAATCCAACAAGCTCAAGACCAGTTAATTCTATCGTCATTAAACATGATCAAAAAACAGAATTTGAAACCCGTCAGATGAATTGGTCTAGATTTATGAAATATTTTACGATGCATGTGACTCACAAAATCTATAAATTACCCTCATTGTTTTCATGAAGGACCTATACCTGAAGGAGAAAACTTAAGGAGCAACCAGCTCTTGAAGGTTTTTGAGCTCCGCAGCCACTGAACCACTGTCGAATCGCCGTCGCCACTATTCGACCACCGACGTCAAGTCATTAGGCCAGCACTCTCTAGCCTTCGCCATTATCGAAACACCATCGTATGACTGCTTTCGCGACCATCGAACCATGGTCATCTTATCATCGTCGTTGGCAGGCCACAGCTATCAGGCCACGGCCTCTTAATCATTGTCACCATCAAACCAACATAACCTCCTCTGGATCAATGTTGTCAAACAATCACCACTGCTAGAACACCGTTGTCAGATCATTGTCGTCACTGTCGGACCACCATTGTCACTGTCATACTAGCATCACCGCCACCGGACAATAGTCATCTAGCCATCACCGCCACCAATCCACTATTGCCAACTTTCACCACCTTTGTTGCCAGACAATGACAATCATCGTTGGACTACCGTCGTTGCCACAATCAAAACGTTGCTTCCTAATCATCAATGTTGTCGCCGCCAGACCACTGCTCCTACCAACAACACTGGCATCCGACTTTTCGCTACTTGACCTATATCGTCAGTTTTCCTTAATTATTGTCGAGTCTTTGCCGCTTCACCAACATTTTTCACCACTCTCTTATAGCGAAAGTCGCGTCAATACCACCCACTCTTGTTTATATTGCTTCTGACTAGTTAAGAGTCTTCAAAGTATAGTTACTTTCATTAGCATAGTAGAATTATTTCAACTCGCTCAAGTCTCATAGTATTTACTTTTTATGTGTGTGATGATCTCCGTACGATACTAAGACATTAATATATCACTCTACAACAATAAATTTACGAGCACAAAAAAAATATTATTTTAAGAAAATTAGTAATAAATATTAAAAATTAAGCTAGATAAATAGTTTATTCATTAATTAATAACGAGTCATTTATGTTTACTGAGATTAATAATTAGATTTTAAAGTAAGAAACTGACCAAGTCAGGTTGATGCATGTTGAGGAGCAGTTTTGCTCCCCTGACGCCGATGGAGGGTTGGTAAAAGCAATTTAAAGATGTGTGATGACCGAACCCATTTGTCAGCATACCATATGCATTACCAACAAATGTAAATACATATCTAAAGTAATTATATGTATCCGGTTTCCAACGGTCTAATTGCTTGGAACTGTGTGGATCCCAATTTTAAAAATATGACTTATTAAACTGAGTTTCGCTGATACTTTATTTCATAGTTTTATTTTTAATTTACTTCTTATATTTATTTGGTTTTTTTGACTAATTATTATTAGATGGAAAAACTTATATTATTTGATGATTTACATACATACCACTCAATTTTTATATATTTACATATCTAATGCTTAAACTTTAAATTTTACTTATATGCCACCTTATCCATGCATGAAAACATTCATTTCACTTTCTAAAAATTAAAATAATGTTATTTTTACCTGATTTTAGATTTTGGGTGGCTTAAATGTAAAAAATAAATTTAGGTGTTGATATGTTTGGAAGCCCTTGTCTTTATGTTAATATCCAAGAGATTAGATGGTGAAATCTAACATTAGCACCAATAGGATGTGGCATCAATTGGGTGAATATTTAAAAATTTATTATTTTTTTAATTTATTATTATTATTATTTTTTTATGTTTTCCTCTCTCTATCATTGACTAGGTTTCTTCTATTTTCAAAACTAGCCATTTAAATTATAATTATGTTGCTATCATTAATATATACCATAGCATCATAGTTCTATATTGAATAAGTATAATCTTCAAAATATGAATTTTTTAAGTTTTTATTCTAAAAAAATTATATATTGAATAAGTATTTCTATAAGACATCTTTGTAATTTTTTTAGTTTTTATTTGAATATATAATTAAAAAAATTATATATTGAGTAAGTGAAAGCAACATGCATACCATAGCATCATAGCATCATAGTTCTATATTGAATAAGTATTTTAGGATTAAACCGCCGGTTCTTCTCCCTATAACAGGGACAAACCTACATTATGCTTAGGGTGA